TGTGGCAGGCGCGGGGGCCGGGTGCAGCCCCGTGGGCTCGGCGCGCTGCTCTGGGTTGCAGGAAAGCCAGTCTCTCCAAGCATGATTGGGGAGGGGGCTGGGTTTTGCTTTTTGTTTCTGGAAGTCCCCCCTCACCCTCCTTAGTCCCTGCGTGCAGCCGAGAGGATCGTGCGGAAAGGCTACAGGGCCCCAGGGCTCACCCCGCCCCGCGCACTCCGGCCGGGGCGCCAGAAGGCGCCGCCTCGGGGGGGCTCCCTGCACCCAGGAGTAGGCGCGGTGAGTGCCCTGGCTCTTCCTGCACCGCTCCCTGCCCCGGACTGGGGTGGAGGAGCGCCGCAGGTGGGTGCTCAGGCCTGGGGCGTAGGGTGCGGGGCGGCTGTCTGCCGGGCTGAGTGGGTGGGGACCCGAACAGGGAGGTGGAGGCGGGGGCTCGCGCTCGACTCTTCCCAGGACCCAGCTCTCGATGCTTGTCTGACTGCCACCAGCCGTCTCCTGGCGGCTGGAGACGCTAACCCCACCCGAACCCCTTCCCCAGAGGGGCGTGTGTAAGGCCAGGAGGTGGACGGGAACGAAGCGGCTCCCGCTTCCTTCAAGCTGGGGCTTGGAGTTGAACCGTGAGGTGGAAAACCAGCCACCCCGCCCCCACCCCGGAAAACCTATTCAAGAAACTGACTTGCTGTGTGACCCCGATATCAATGCCGCGCAGAGCAAAGCTGCTGGCTCCCCGCGGCGCCAGACACTCCACGTGCGTCCGGGGACACAGCTGGCAGGGCGCGCTGGAGGTCCCCGAGAGTCTGGAACAGCTTACCACCTTCCCCTAGATAAAGTTAGGGGGGCCCCTCCCTCTAGGAGCAGCTGGCCTTAGCGCTTTGGCTGTAGCCTAGCTCGACTGGAGTAAAATAAATAGATTAAAACTAGGTTTCGGGGTGAGGATCCGGATGTCTGGGACTGAAACGACACCAAGTTAGGAGGTGGTTAGGGAAAAAAAAGACTTAGCCATTCGGGTTGGGGGGAGTGGCGGCTCTGGTTTCTCGCGCTTCCAATCCCACCAAGGGGAGCAGAGGAATGAGCCGCTCACCTCTTCTGAGAACACATCCATATTTATAATTTATTTTTAGAAGAAGTTGTGAAAAAAAGGAGGGGGTTTAAATGGGGAGAAAAGGTGCGCTTGGAATGGTGTCCTCTTGGGAACCCGAAAGCTAATTGAGCTATTAAAAACGGAAATAATTTCTCCCATCTGGACTGAGCAGCAAATTTGACTTTAATGAGTGACAATTAAGGGCATAATGGAACTTTATTTAGCTGGAGGTAGGACGGGGTGGCGTATTCGAGGTCCCTCCAACACTGGATTTATGCTTGGTGAGCCCTGGCATTTGCTGGAATGTTTTCAGGCCTGATTGTGTGGGACAGTATCTCTCTCCACAGCGACCCCCTGGCTTTGGGGGAGATGAACTTCTTTCCAGCAGAAAGAGGCAGGCATTTTTAGTAATCCTCCCTTCTCCTGAACCCTGTCTCTAAGGCAAGCCTGCTGGGAGCTGGGAACAACACCCCCAAAGGGGTTCACTTCAGAAAAGAGGCTCCCGAGGCTGTGGGCCCAGAATCGGGGTTTTGAGGGCGAGATGAGTTTGTGTTTTATCCAACTGGCCCACAAAGTCCCGCTTTTGGGGTCATCCTAACTGCAAAGCGCTCAGGCCCTGGCAGCTGCTGGAGGGTGAGGGCCGACCCCCAGGCTATGGAGTCTGAAACTAAAGCCGCAGAGAAGGAAGGCTGGCTTCTTTGGTCAAGGGGAAAGACTGGGGTGGGAGGGTATTCTTATTTAACTCTGTTCTCAGTACAAATCTGCCATGACCCCTGTCCTTGAGAGGCCAAAAGATAGCAGAATGGGGAAGTATGGGCTGTATATACACACACACCCCACGAGGCTTCGTGGGGCCTTTTGATGGACAAGACCAGTATGAAACGTAGACTCGGAGTCTGTTTCTTAACCTGAAGCCCTTAAACTCCACTGAGATAAACCACAATGCTATGAGACTTCAGTTTACCTCTGTCAAAGGAGCAACTGTTTGCTTCCACTTGAATTAACGAACTTGTAATTCATTACTACTCCACACTGAACAAAGTCTTGTGTAAGAAAGTCTGGACCATGAGTTCAGGAGTCGTTTATAAGGGAGAGAGAACAAATGTCCCTGTCAGGATGGTCACCTCAGTGTACACACACACACACCACACACACCTCTGTCCACTGTTGGGTAAGCACAGCACAGCCATATATGCATTTGCACACCCTGAGCTATTTGCAAGCCTGAATTTAAATTAAGCGCTCACAGCTGGGAATAGACCACCTCAATAGCTTTTGAACTGAGTCCCTGATAGCAGATTGAGTGACTTGCTCACTTGTGACACATGGACACATAGATGTCCATTTGTGTTGCCTTGGCAGACAGGAGACGTTCTTTCCCTCCAGAGTTCCATGTTTCTCTTAAGGGGCTCGACGAGCCCACACCATTTCCAGGAGGTCATGGTGGTGGTGCTGATCACCCGTAGGTGATGGCCATATGGGAGCTGTGTTTGTGTTTTGCTGACTCACCAGTGACGGCCACATCCTATCGACTCTGCTAAATAATTTCACCAAATTAGCCTTTAATGATACTTGTACAAAGAGAGTGTATTCTGTGAATGAGTGAGCCTGGGTACCAGATGTTGAGCTCAGATCATGGGCTGGCATGGAGGCGAGGAAGCTGAAAATGGAAATTATGGAATTGTTAAAAATGTAGAAAGTCAGGTGGAATTTAGTATTAAATGGAAATCAATTCCTGTTTTAAGATGCGCATGCCCAAAGCATGAAGTAGTGTTTGCATTCAGCTCTGTGCATCCACACATGTGATTATGAATATATTTAGCAAACTGCTCCCCGCCTCCAACCAAAGTTTGCAAACAAGTAGCATGGTGAGATTATAAATCGGTGCTGTGCAGCGAGAGATCACAGTCACGAAATCAGCAAAGCAGTGCAGTTTCTGTACATGCTCTAGCTACCACCGAGCTTCCCTCTCCTGCCAATTAAAAAAAAATATTGAGCAAGGAACTGTTGAATATTCTGAATACATTTAGGTTTTTCTCCTTTGGCCTGCCCATGTGAAACTTCATTAAGCAGTTACTACTTCCCACCACCCCAGCTCCACTCATGCAAGGAGTGTGGATTTAGAGCGGGATGGGTGCAGAGGGGATGAGCAACTTTGAATTTAGTTCTTTGCAATATGTATGTTGTACAGGGGAAACTTTCAACAGAAAAGAAGTCAATAGCATATGACTAGGGGTGAGCTAGAAAGGACGTGCCCTTCAAAACTAAGTGTCCACGCAGGACTCAAGCCGATGGAAGCTGGGAAACCCCTCTTCTAGCTGAAGAGGTTTGGGGGAGTGATTCAGAGATAGAACTCTTCCCTGAGGTGCATAAGGACCTGGACTCAGCCCTAGCACTGGAAATAAACAAACAAGCAACAGGAAGATCCGGGTCAGGTAAGCTTGGAGCTCTCTGGAACAGTAAATGACTATCTTAGGTGTGAAGAAATGAATGGAAATGAGTCAGGCACATAGTCCCCACTTCAGAACCACTTGTCAGATAACACACAGAGGAAAAGACTTCGTCGGACTTAGGTGCTGGACTGTCTTCTTCACCCGCCATTCTAACCTGAAGTCCTTGCTTCTCAGATTTGGAACAAGACAAAAATGAACCCCTTTCACCCATGCACCACACAAAGCACCCTATAAACAGCGGAGACTTTTCAGGGAAAGATGTAGATGTGGAAGAGGCTTGGGGGAAAGGGAACAATAGACTTTGGGGTTCTTCTGTTCACCCCATGCCAGGCTAAACCCCCAGGCACCTCGTGGTTTCTTTCCGAAGCTGCCGTGTTCTGCTGCAGCTGTCACAATCCGTAGCTGCGGAGACAAAGTTTCTGATCTTTCGTCGTTGCCCTCGCGAAGGACACTCGAGTTGTGCAGACCCACAAAGTTCACTTCCCCTCGGTGTTTCATGCACTGTGGCAGGAAGGGACAACACCCTGGAGGATGCAATGGCAGTGATACCCAGGGGAAGCCCTGGAAGGCGAGTTGGAGGGCACAGGCGGGCTCCTGCGGACGACCCACCCTAGGTGCAGGGCTGAACTGCTGAGTTTCACTGTAGTATCCAAGTTTTGAGACATTAGCAAATGGGGCCTCTTCTGCTAGAACCACCCATGAGAGCCATGCCTGGGGCCTGTTGGCATCAGTGCCCAAGACAGCCTGGATTGCTGCCAATTGAGGCCCAGACATGACCATATTGCCGTGACTGGATCCCAAACAAGCTCCAGATAGTGGCCTGGAGGGCTTTTGCCTGGGGTCTGGGTAGAAGCAGCTTAGTGAGGAAGTGGGTATTTGGGTCCCCAGAGTGGTCTTCTCAGAGACCCCATGAGGCTCAAGTTTGGTGACCTTGTGAACTCTGGGGAAGGAGGTTCCTTTCAGATACTCGGAAGGAAGCACGTGAAGCCATTGCACTTAGCTTCTAGAACGCACACAGAGTTCTAGAAAATTCCAGTACAGAGTTGTGCTTTTGTAGCCAAGTAAAGACTTGCTGCTGCCCAGGGGTGGTGAAGGAGGTTGGGGTGCCCTGTGACCCATATCAGCTACTATGGAATCCTTTGCCAATCTCTCCCCCAGCCAGGCAGCCTAATGTACTCCTGGGAGTTGAGTGTTCTCTGCCTAGGCCGGAAGAGGCAGAGCTGTGGACCTAGAAGTGGAGAGGAAGCGACAGGGTATTTGAGGACATAGAGGGAGGACCAGGTGGGCAAAGAAATGGGAACACTTGAGCCACCTTGATACAGGCTGAGTGTGAGGCTTCGGTGGGTACACTGACCTAAACCCTGCAGTGTGTCTACAGCCTGCTCAGTTTGGCAGATCCATCTGCTCTGGGATGCTGGGTCCAACAGTTGAGTCAGCTGAACCCCTGGGATTCTCATTTGGCCCTAGTAATTGAACTCCAGGCCTCAGGAGGGCCTCATGGCCTCCCCAATGTATCTCAGCATGACAATCAAAAGACCCAAGCAGGGGCTGTGGGCCAGGCCACATTTAGCCTCAGGTTCATCGGAGAATATGTTAGGAAGGAGAGCTCTGGCCTAGTTACTGGCTGTCACATGCTTAGAGGTGGAAAGTCACTTTCAGAGGCCAGGCCCAGATGCCTGAAGGCTGCACCAGGGCTTTGGGGCCATGCAACCAGTCCCGGGAGTGTGTTGGGGAGGCTTCTCTTCCCTCTTCCATCAGCCCAGCTGTTTTCAGTCACCTCTTCTCTGCGGTGGCCCAGTGTGCTGTGTCAGACTGCTGAGAGCAACCTTTGTGGATAGGTTAGCCCTATAAAGAAAGCCCTTGGGTGCTAGCTGGCCTGGACCTCCAAGGTCAGATGTCTTGGGGATGACTTTGCTGTGAATTTCTTCTTTCCCAGACTTTAGTGGCCAGACCCCAAGAGATATGTGGACATTCGTGGTGACTTTGTCCCTTCAGCTGTAAATGCCCTGGGGACCTTCCCTAAACCCTCACCCTTCATGGTCAGCCAGGAACCTCACCTAGGTATTTCACTTCGGTCTCCAAGGCAACTGACTCGCTCTTCCATAATGCAGGAAGAGGGGCCCTGATGGATCACTTGTTCTCTTTGCTCATCAGCCCCTGTTTTAGGACATCATCTGCGCGGTCATTTCTGGAGCCTGCTTGGGTGGAGTGGGGGTCTCAGATGCCTGGCTCCCTGCACGTGCACTGAAGCATGTCTGTATGGAAACTTCTGCCTAGAAACACTTGTAGCCAGTTGCCGCATAGATGCCGATGCTCCTGGGAGACCGCCTGGCACCACACCCCCTCAAAAGATTCACTTGTCTGAAGTTTGCTTTAACTTTCTGCATTTTTTTCCTTTTTAGTTTTGGCTCTTGGTGCCTCTGAGAGTCTCCACTTCCTGCCAGCTGGTTGGTTACCGCAGGGAAAATGAGGGACTTTTGGGGGCAGATGTGTTTCCATTCCACTATCATAATGCCCCTAAAAATCCTTATTGCTCTTGCAGTATGCCTCGGGGGTCCCTGGGCCAGGAAGACCGCAGCTCCGAGAGCTGCCAGCCACTCGAAGAAGAGGTATTCCCGGAGCCTCTGCCCCAGCTCCTTGACTTCTGGGGTGGATCTCCCCTTGCCGCGCTCAAAACCCGTAGAAAATAAAAAGATGCCTTGTGAGACCACCTGCTAAATGTGCTTTTTGCCCTCCAGGGGTAAAATGGCGCTCAGGCCTGGGAAAAGGCTGACTATGGCTCAGTTGCCTTAGCCCCTGAGGATGCAGGCTTAAAACAAGAGTTACCAGTTTGACAGGCCTGGTCCCTCCAGGGCCCTAGGATCTTCACTGCGGGTGGGGTGGGGATGGGAAGCCCTGGCCTGCCAGCTCCCAGAAACAGGACACTTTCCCCCTCGGCCTCAGTTTCTCATCTTGCCAGCGGAGAGCCTGTGCTCCCTGAACCTTCAGAGTTTCTTGGATATAGCCAAGGATGTAATGAGATCAAAATCACAAACTCTGAAGACCTTTGAAGGGATGAGGTCGGTGCCTACAGAACTAGTTAGTATGGGCACTAATGTTTACGAATGCATGCGAATGACTCAGAGAAGCCGCAGTTCAGCTGCAGCCATGGTTTCTGGAAGCAACTTGCTTAGCCCAAGCACTGGGATTCTGTCACAGCAGGGTCTAAAAATACCTCACAACCTGAAACCCACGGCTTAGAGCAGAAGTTTCTTCAAGTCTCTTACACATTCCCATTAGGTGTTTTTAAGTGAATTGTGTCTAAAGGTATGGGTTATACAAATAGTTATGAATATGCAAATATTTATGCTAATTCTCTGCACAGTAAATTTTTAGTTACGGCAGCTGCTTGGTTGCCCCTTCGGGTGAGAATGTTTCACATGAATTTTTTTTTAAATGAGAGCGTTTCTTTTTCTCACTCCCCCCCCTTTGGAGACAGGGTCTCACATATGTAGCTTTGACTGGACTCAAACTCAAGAGATCTGCCTACCCCTGCCTCCCTGACTGTAGTGTGTGGAAACCCAGAGGCAGAACCAGCACCATGGTCTATGAGGTGTCCTAGGTCAACTTTTCAAACTCCTGTTTTCTAGGGGTTCCCCTCTTGGTTGGTGTGAGCATGGTGAGGCTACAGAGATTGCTAACATTCCCACTCAGCACAACTGACAGCGCTGGTGCTGGTGTCCTGTGTCCCACACAATGAGGCAGAGCCACTTTCCAGGAGACTCAGCCCTCTGTGACAGGCCACCAGGTGGTTAAGGAGTCACCAGGAAGAGCGTTCATGCACAGGGCAACAGGATAGGCGGGGCACCATACTGCTCTTGGCCTTCAAGGGTGCCACTTCAAAGGACCAGAGTATGCTGGACTGGGCTCAAACGCCAGCTTCCAGCCAACCCTAGAGTGGTAGGAAAGGAAACAGCAGGCCCCAGAAAGTAACCAGCTCTGGTTACTCTTTATGCTGTGTCATAGGGTGGAGATGCCAGAGAGGACTGGCTGGCCAGCTGCGAAAGGTACAGAGACCAACAGACAGCTGCCGGAGCACACTGTGCCCTGACCTCACACACCTGCGAAGACAGGGCAGGGCCCTAGGGGCACCTCTTACACACCTTTCTACCCACACACCAGGAGAACCTTCTGGACTGTTTTTGAGACAGGGTTTCTTACCGTTGCTTAGATTGGCCTTGAACTTGCAGAAATCCCTGTGCTTTGACCTCTGTAGGCATTGGCCTACAGCATCATGCCTTGCTAATAAAACAAGTTTGTGCATGTCTCTCTGTCTTTGTCTCTGTGTGCACCTGTCTCTCTCTGTGCCCCCCCCCTTGGACACTCTTTACATATTTTTTAAGGCAGAGTTTGTCACTGAACCTGGAGATCACTGATTGAGTGAGGCTGTCTGGCTATCAGGCTCCAGGGGTTTTTCTGTCTTCACCCCACCCCTGGTACAGGGATTATAAAGATGTGCCCACACCAGGCTGCTTTTTATGGGTCTTGGAGATCGAACTTAGGTCCTTGTGCAAACACTTTACCAACTGAGCTTCCCCCCAGCCCCAAGACACAATTGTAAGCCACGTGGGCTTGGACTTTGGAGGCTGTGACTGTTGGTTCTGGATCAGGCTGGATGTCTCAGCCCTCACCTGCTCCCTCCCTCCCTCTCAGGTGTCTGCTGAGGGCCCACAACGCCAGGCACAGTGTTGGGTTCTGGAGATCCAATACTGTGTAAGACGCAGTGCCTACACTCACAGGTTTCTCGCTTGAAGGGGACAAGATGGAAGAGAAAGCAAAGAAATAGATTCCCTGTGTGAGGACAAACATTCCCTGCTGAGTGTTCAGTGTTCTGCTGCCATAAGAATGGTGGCGCGTGTCCCCGCTTCCAACAGTAACGTGGAAACATAGGCAGCACCAGGCATGGCCGGCAGTCTTGCAATCTCAGTACTTAGAAGACAGAAGCAGGAGGAGTGTCCTTAAATTCAAGGCCGGTTTGCTCTAGGCCAATTGGGACATAGTAAGATTCTGTCTCAAATAAAACAAACCCAGTAACAACAAAAAAATACAAATGTCTATCTGTTCTGTATTTGAATTTGGACCCTTCTAGGGACTGCTTTTACAACCGCTAGCAAGTGACAATGCTCTTTGTCGCTCATTTTCCCTGTCTGTACTCGAAAGACAGACACGGGGCAGCAGTGGGAATGAGGTAAACAGAGCCTTGGGTATTACGTCATTAGAAGTCAGATCTAGCTACCCATCTGGCTGACAGATGGCATAGGGACATTGCAGGGTCTCTCTCCCCATGGTGAATGTTACACAAGAGCCTCTCTACCCTTCAGGTGGACCTCATCAGCTGGAGGTTGAGATGGGGACTCAGAGCCCTACAGAGATGCACTGATAGCTACTGCCCTGGCAGGCAAGCCAGTTGAGCCTAGATTTGGACTTGTCCCCAAAGGCCTAGGGTCCACACTTGGTCAGTCTTGTGGTGTTACAGTCTTGAATTTAATGATTTTGGAACCAGGGCCCCACATTTTTATTTTGCAAGTTAGTCTGTCCTGCCTTGCTATGACAGACTTCAAAATGGTCACTCGTCTGCTCTTGGTAGTTTCCACATCTAGGCCCCGGGTAATTTTTCTATTCATCAATCCAGCGTTTGGTGTGTTAGGTTGCTTTACTTTTTGAAACAGTCTTTAGTCCAGGCTGGCCTGGAACTCATTATGTAACCAGGCTGGACTTGACCTTCTGATTATAGGTCACACTCAATTTTCTGCTGTGCTGGGCCTTGAACCAGGGCATCTCCATACATGCTAGGCAAGCATTCTTCTACTAACCAAGCTAGATTCCCAGTTCTCAGTCTAGTGTTTTTTAATGAGGTTGAAACCTCCAGGAGAAAATGACATTCACTTTAGGATTGGTTGACCATATAGCATGTATCTGCTTCTCTCTCTCTCTCTCTCTCTCTCTCTCTCTCTCTCTCTCTCTCATAGGGTGGCTGCTGAGGGCAGGGTAGGCCCCTTCTCCACTGAAGCTTCAGACCCTAACACAGAATAGGAGCTCAGTGGATCAAAGGTCACTCTTTCTCCTCTGGCTCCTGGAAAGCTCTGTGAGAGTGCACTCTGAGGTCTGCTGAGATCCCCCCCCCCTGCTTCTTCCACACCAACACTGTTCAATGGATTGGTGTTTAAAGGGCTCTAGGGTTCAAAGTCAACACAGGTTTAAAGGCCTATAGGGCTGGCTTTGTGAAGCCTGCCCCTGGGGAAGTTAAGTACAGCTTCGAGACACACAGATTTCCTTTTGGAATGGGTCTGAGACCCAGCAGGAGGCTCCAGGTCAGGGTTTCTGGACTCTCCAGAGGCTGAGACAGGAAGATTGTGAGATCCAGGCTAGTCTTGGCCACACAGTGAGACCCTGTCTCACAAGACACCACACATGATGGTGTGCGCCTATAACCTCAGCACCCAGGAGAAGACAGAATGGGACGCTAACAGCTTCATGAAGTGACCCACTTTGCACAAAAACGATCACACTGAAAATGTGACAGTCGGTGACCTTGGGTATATTCAATGTCAACGATACGTGGCCACCATCAAAATGAAATTCAGAGCCTTCCCATCACTTGTCTGTAATTCTGCCCCCATCCCAATCCTTATCAATCACTGATCTACTTACTGGCCATTTCACGCATGGAATCATTCGGTCTATGGTTCTGTTTTGTAACACAATGTCATGTTGTGGTATCAGAATGAACTCTCTTCCTTCTTTCCTCCCCTTCCTCTCCCTCCTCCTCCCCTCCTCTCCCCTCCCCTCCCCCCTCCATGCTTTTCTTTTTATTTTTTAATGTTTTGGTTTTTCAAGAACTGTCCCTCCTGTCCCTGCTTTCTGAGTTGCAGGTGTTAGAAGTTGTGTCACCACAGCCAGCGGAAGACCATTCCCTGTGTGCCCGGGAACTAGTCCTTCACAGGATGCTACCTGTTGCTTGTCTGTCTGTCAGTTGATAGACGTGGGTTGTTTCTATTTGTGGCGACCATGAGCAGCAGAGCTGCTTTTGTGTGGATGGACCTCTTTGTTTCTTTTGTGTATATTTCTAGGGATGGAGTTGGTGGGTCCTGAGACAATGGCACAGCAGAGACCCACTGCTCGGGTGCACCAGTGGCAGCCTTTAGCTTGTTCCCTCTGTCCCTCTGTCCCTCTGTCCCTCCTCACTCCCTTTGTCTTCCTCTGCCCAGTGTTTTCTTATTCTCTTTTTGCTCTCTCTCTCTCTCTCTCTCTCTCTCTCTGTGTGTGTGTGTGTGTGTGTGTGTGTGTGTGTGCGCGTGTGTATATGCATACATGTGCATGCAGGTGCCCAAGGAGACCGAAAGCGGGTACAGAGTCTCCCTGCGGCTGGAGTTCCAGAGTTTGTGAGCTGCCCAATGCAGGTACTGGGATCTGAACTCCAGTCCTCCAACAGAGAGCAGTAAGCAGTCTTAATTACTGAATCATCTCTTTGCCTCTTTTTCATGTTTGTGTATGTGCACATGTGGCTGTGGGTATATGTGTGCACAGTCTCAGGACAGCCTCATTTGTGGGTCTTCACATGACTTTTGCCTCTCCTTTGAGAGACTCTCCTTGACCTGGAACTTTATCAAGTCGAGCTGAGCTATCTGGTCTGAGATCTTCCAGGGGTCGGTCTGCCTCTGCCTGCTAAGTCATCATTGTGGGACACAGGTGTACACCACCATCCTCAGCTTTTTCCATGGGTCCCAAGGATCAGAACTCAGAACCCCATGTTTGGAAGGCATAAACTTTACTGCCAGCCATCTCTCCGGCCCTAACATTTTAACATTTCTCTTTGTCTCAAACTTTCACTGGGTGGGATTTGGAGAGGATGGGGGACCAGAGAGAATCTGGAGTAGGGCAGTATAGCACGAGAAATGGGGAGCCCCAGGTGAGGCCAGACCAGCTGTGTAACTCACAGACTCGGGGTGAAACCACCACTTCAGGGTCCCTTTTCAAAGCTGGTGGAGTCTGAAGTGCAATGGCAGAGCCAGCACAGGATGTGAGCAGAACAAGAAGATGCAGCAGATATAAGAATCTAAACCCGTGGGTGCTCAGGAGACACATAAACAAGCCACACTCCATCCTTGGAGTGGTTCCAATGGCAGTTGGTGGCCCCTGGTATGTGTGTCAAGATTCAAACCCTTATCATTTGAATCTCCCAAAATAAGATGACCCCCTCCAACCAGTAGGCTCTAAGAACTGAAAAAATAGTTATTTGTCTGAGGCCTTTCCCCAAGAGCCACATTTGGTTTATTTGGCCACAGTATTTAGTTCTAGCTTCTGAGGGGGTTCAGGTGCTCCAGTGGGGGACAGGGCTGCACACAAGGCCACAAGGGAGCAGACAGCCAGAACTATAGCAGAAGCGGGTGGCCATGGTAGACACTAGCTGCCAAGTGTTGTAGCCACACCTCCCAGCTCAGGACAGAAGGCATTGTCTTCCTCAAGGGCTAGCCTCCACTGGACCACAGACCTCATTTCCCATGTTCACCTAGACTCTTGGCCCCAGGACTCATTGTCATCTCCACTCAATACTTTGTCGTGAAGACTGGTTGTTGTAGGAGGCCGCTTGTTTGTTCCCAGCTGCTCAGCCCCAAAATAACCACACAGAAACTGTATTAATTAAATCACTGCTTGGCCTATGAGCTCTAGATTCTTATTGGCTAGTTCTTACATCTTAATTTAACCCATTTCTATTAATCTGTGTATTGCCACATGACTGTGGCTTACCTGATAAAGTTCTGTCTGGCATCTGTCTCTGGCAGGGCTCCATGGCGTCTCACTGACTGTGCCTTCCTTCTTCCAGCATTCAGTTTAGTTTTCTCCACCTAGCTCTGTTCTGCTTTGCTATAGGCCAAAAAAGTTTGTTTATTCATTAACCAATAAAAGCAGCGCATAGACAGAAGGACTTCCCACACCCGTGGGTAAAGGATTCAGCCAGGGACTCAGAGCACAGTGTGGCTGGATTGTATTCGTCTGTTAAATGTGATACCTAAGGCCTCACAGATGGGCACACACTGCATTGTAGCCACAAGATAGCTGTAGTCCTTGCCTGATGCTACCCCAGCTTGACAGACATGTGGTAAAAGAGAGTTGGTTTATTATACTGTTTCAACCAGGATGCAGAATGACTTTCTTTCCAACCCTTCCCCTTCCCTCCCTCCAAGTCCTCCCTTCTTTCTCACCACCCCTCTCTGAGGCAGGATCTTCCTGTTATAACCCAGGCTTCCCTCAGTGCTGGGATTATGGGCACATTTGCTACAACAACTTGGCTGGAAGTGACTTTTAATATACCATCTAATACTTTTTAATTATCCCAGATATTTAAAATGTAATCTTTATCGTTAAAAAGAAAATAAAAAAGATAGTACAGAAGAGAATAAAGGGGCTGGTGAGGAGCTCAGTGGATAAAGGCGCTCGTCTTCCAGTGCTCGTCCTCCAGTGCTCGTCCTCCAGTGCTCGTCCTCCAG